CAGTTTTTTGTTTTACGCCGGTTTTTCCCGAAGTCGCAAAAGTATGACATCACAACATTCTGATTGGTCACTTGCAATGTTGATCCTGGAACAACCTTTAGTATGATGATCTGGGAACAACACCAACACGAGGATATCAGATCGTGCATGTGTGTACAGTGATTGAAGATACAAAAACAATGGAAACCAAAGATACTACCACAGAAAGCAGTGTAAATTAAACTGCCTGTATCAGATCAACAAGAAGATTACTGAACACAGAGCAAGCGAACAGACTGAGAAGAAGGCAAAAAAAGATCAAAGTGAAGATCAAAGGAGCTAAACGTAAGAGAGAGACAACAACTTCAAAATCAATGAAGAAAAAAACGAGCAAATAGAGCAACAGGAAGTTGTGTGATTTTTTTGATGCAACAGTTTTTCTATTTTGTCTAACCATGAGATATCCATTGGAGAATCTTACCTTTTGGCCCCTGTTGGTTTTCACACACACTGTTTCTATGTTAGGCAGGCAATGGAAAAACTGTCAGGTATCCTCGTTGGGTCTGTAAACATACGTGAGTCATGTTCTTCCTTTTCTATCATATTAAACTGATTTCATATCTGCATCTAATGGCAGGTGGTTCTCAATATTAAGGAAGTCATCTGAACGTCTTTGTCTGACAGAGAGTGGAAGCTTGTCGTGCAGAGGTGAACAGAGAATATCAGCTCACTCTTCTGTTTTATTTTCTAGCTCTCAATGTCGGAAAGGCTCAGATTATTGAGTCTCCTTAGAGTACACTTAGTTTAATAGTCTGCTTTAATACTCTGACATGTTACCCAACTCTCACTTCCTCTTCAATGGCAACCAAAGCACGTAGGCTTTATGTAGTCACAGGGCACTGATAATGCAGATATTAGCTGCTCCCCGTAGCCGAGCTTTACTTCGGTATTATGAAGACTTTATTACTAGTCATTCTGGGGGGAAAGGCCTGATGAAGACTGTCGAGTCAAAAGAAGAAGGCATCTTGTTAGTCTCCATTGCACATGACCTCATTTTTAGTGTTCGTGCTCACTAACACGTGTTTTGCTCGCCGCTCTTTGACAAAAGGCTCACAAAAATGTTGATCCTATTTGTACTTTTTTTCAGTCTCACGATCGGTAAGCTATCACCTTTTTATAAGACCATTTTCATTCAAAGCTGTGTGCGTGTTTGTGTACATGATGGAACTGTAACGTTTGGCTTATCTGAGAAGAAATTCGTTTTAAAGATAAGAGTATTTGGTGTTAGACTGTCACAGGATTTGAGGAAGAAGCAATCATTAACAGTTGTCCATTGTATTTAATTTTTTTCATTTTCAGTGGGTAATGCAACACTGGTGTATGTTAACACCACTATCGCCGACTCAGCAGTCCTCGAATGTAGCATGCAAAATAAAAATATCACGGACTGGAGCAATGTTCGTTTTTATTGGCAAGATAACAGGGATTTTGTGTTGTATTCCTATAATGAAGGAAGAAAGATGGCTGAGCATGTAAATGACTACTATAAACAGAGAGTCACAGCCTTCCCTCAGGACATAATTACAGGAAATATCAGCATCATAATCAAAAACCTGACTCTTGAAGATAACGAAAGGACTTTCTGGGCTTTTGCGGCAGTCTTGGACGGCAGCGTGATGAAGAAATACCACCTGGAACACACACAGATCTGCCAAGTAACTTTACAGATAGGTGGTAAGAAAGGTTTTCAGTCTTTTTCACAAAAATAAGAAAGAGAAGTTATATTGTCATATAAATAAGCACCTACAGTCAGTGGAGATGACATTGATTTTATGCTATTGTGGTTAATGTAGAATGTGTAGTTTCCTCCTTTCAGACTTTGCCAACAGTGACTATGCTAATATTTGCATTTAGTGATTGTAATGATTATTAATTGGTAATCAAGTGACAGCTAGGTTCAAATCATTTTGGACAAAGACACAGTTTGTGTATTTTTGCTCTGTGCACAACCACAGTGGGTTTTAAATCAAACAGTCAAGATGTGCTTGAAGTGCACAAGCTATTCAGAAATTATATATATTCACCTCATCCAGCCGAAGGACTGATGAGGTTATGCCATTCTGAAGAATCTGGCATGAAGAATAACTACTCATGTTAGAGTAATATTCACATTCTTTATTCAAAAAATTTTAGAAAAATGGAAATGGTCTTCTGTCCCCTTCTCTCCTCAGTTCCTTACCAGAATCCCAGGCTAGATGT